AAAATTGCTTTTGTTAACTAGATAGAATATCTGACAAAGTTTGTTTATTTGCTTCAGGACCAGGCAAGTGAAGGGAATTCCTTGTTCTGGTTCAAAATGAGAAGACAGAAATTCTTCTCTGAAGGAAGAGGTTGTTTGTGGCTGTGGAGGGAGAAGGAAGAAGATCAATTATCAGGGTCAGTGGATGAAAAGAAAGGCAGCGTGTCAGGAGCTGTTCTGAAGTTAAGCAAGGACAAATTCTCAGCTTCTCACAACACATCATTCCCCAGTCCCCAAACTCTGAAATCCTCCACGTCCACACCTCATTATCCTCCTTCCAACCATCTAGTGGGGAGATTTTCTGCTGTATGTGACTTAGAAGTCAGGGATAGTGGGGGAGGGACAAGTCCCTCATTCCTGGCATCCTTAGTTGGACCCCTGAACACATCTCCGTATAAAAATACTGTTCATTAAGTGGCCAAGTCCTATAGTCCTGTTGGGACTCTACTTCAGAGCATTATGGGCTAAACATAGCTAAGCACCATGCATAATATGGTTCCTCTGGAGAATGCACTCTGAGTTCCACATAACTCACTTCTACAAATGAACCACTAGAATTCTGCCATTCTGACATAGGAACTGCCTGTGAGACTCTCAAATGAGAGTGGAAGATACAGTGGTGTCTTTAGGGACTGTTCAGTTCAGATGACAAGGAAAGATTGTGTGTCCTTTTTGCTTGAGAGCTTTCCTGCATTGCCTTTTGTTCATTCTAGAGATCAAGAAATATATTCCCTTCCTTCTGGCTATGTCTCAAAGTATTCTGAGGCCATGGACCAACATAACCATTGAATCCTGCAGAGTCAGACTAAGGGTGTTGTGTCTCACTTGCTTAGAAATGGAAGAGAACAAGTCAAAGTTGGAAGTTTAATTTTAGCTTTTTTTGCATTTTGACCATGAATGCTACTAAAATGTTTCTGATAAAAGTGCACTTCTTTACCAAAACTCAGAGATATAAGTTTAAATTCCAATTTTTAAACCATGTTTTATCAACTTTCATATAATTTCATATAATACATCTGTTGTCTTTTGTAATCCTCACTAAAGCCTTTAAGGAAGAAATTTACACTCCCATTTCACCGATGAAGAAATTAAGGCAGAGAGATTAAGGAACTTGCCCAAGTCTTTGAAGCTTGAAAGCAGCAAACATTTGAATCCAGGTGCATCTGACTCAGAGCCAGGCTCTCAGCTACTCTGCTGCCTCTCAAATGGCAGAAGTCCTGCTGCCACCAGTAAACATCAGCCACTACTATCAAGGATTGCCCAGGGGCACCTTTATAATGTAAACATCATGTGCAAAACACTCTCAAAGCTTTTCTCTGTAGAAAAGAGGGCACTTGCCAGAGGAAGGTGTTCTTGAATAGTATTAAGAGTAACACATCCTTAAAATTAAATTAATCTATGCTTTTTGTGCAATAGACAGTCTTTAAGAAAGTATCTCTTAAAAGTAGAATATAGAATATACAAGTACAATATGAATAATGCAATCTGCATAAAAACAGGTGTAATGTCTTGTAGGGATATAGGTTCCCTGCTTAGGGGAGCGGAAAACAGAGCGGGACAGTCATGCACATGAGCAAACATGTGCGCAACTTGGGGATTGGCTCTGCTACCATCCAAGAGAGAAGGGGAGGCATAGTGTGCGCTAGTCCCATCTCTAGCCTTGCACGGAGGCTTATTAATATTGGGAGACTCAAGTCTAGTGACGTGAGCTAGCTCATTTTGCATAATCCTCTCTTGAGGCTGTGGCTGAACTGTGGTGGAAGTTTGGCTCACTCCCCCCCAATTTCCCCTGGATAGTCCATGAAGCTCTAGAGGTGTCAGTCATTCCTCCGGGCAGATGATCAATGCCCATCAGTTCTTGTAGGTAGACCTTTGTTGTTACTCTTCTGGAAATGGGTGTTGGGTTTCAGGAACTTTCACCCTCCACAGCTCCTAAAATGCAGTATGTTAGAAGTGCAATCAGTTTGCACCAATCACCACAACTCCCTCCGCCCCCCAATTCCCAAACAAAGCTCTGGATATTCACGAATCATTATGACTGCTTAATTTCAGAGAGTTCTGTTGAATTGCTTCTAAATTTCTCTGGATGGCTGAACAGGGATAAGCTTACTGCCCACAGCAGCTGCTAGCCACAGTAACTGTGAAAGCAGGGTCTGTGTCTGCACGCCAACCTCCAGTGACTGGGTGGACCCAGCATGAGCCTGTCCTTGGGGCTCTGAACTTTCTTTCTGTAGTGCATTCCCCAGGCTCAGGGACTAAAGAAAAGCAAAGCCATTGCCTTGTTGCCAGGGAAACCAAGCAGGTGCTCTGAAGCCAGTGATTCATAACAAAATGCTCAACTTTTCCTTGCTGGGAGGCAGAGGTTGTTCTAGCTAGGGTAGAAGTTAGAGTCCAAGTGGTCAGAACTGGAACAGTGTTTGCCATGTGGCATCAGGAGTTCAGACGGGCCGGCTAAGTCCAAATCCACTAGGGAATGCTTACATTGGAAAGCTGGCAAGACAAAGAGCTAATACATAACCCAAAGGCTGGAGGTTGGGATTACAGAGTCAGGATTTGAGAATCAGGCAAACTGGGGTTCAGTTTACAAAAATGTAGGGAGCAAAGTAAGATGTCCAAGGGCGCTGCTGAAAAGAACCTCAGGGTGTTCCTTGGTTTCCTCAGGGAAACCAAGACATCGTGAAACATGAAAGGATACATGGGCAGATTTGTCAGCTTCATAGCAAGGTGTGCACCCTTCTACCTCCTGCCCACCTCTTGAGTGAGTTGGAACAAGTCCTCTTTCCAATTCCAGGCACATGAGTGTGCATCAGTGAATCATATAGAAAAGCTCCTTCCTCGGGGCTGGATATCACCTTGACTCCCTCTGAATACTTTGGTCTACTTTGACTTCTGCTTGACCACGGACTAGCGGGAATCTCAAGCGCCTTTCAGAAGGTCCCCTGTCCTAGAACTTTGCAGATAAATCATACACAAGGTCCCAGTCAGCTCTCACTTAAGGCTCTGCCGACCTACATGCCATCTGACTGGCAAACAAGCATACCAATACAACACAAATCCAAATGCCTTGTCATGGTCTTCCAGGTTTATCTCACCAATCTCATCTTATTACTACAGCCTCTTATCTTTACCTTCTTCCAGCTTCACCAGTGTTTTTGTTCCTTCATCATGCCAAGCTCCCGTACTACCCCTAGACCTGGCCCTGCCCTGAGTTCTGCACTTTCTGGGATCCCACCTAACCTTCCTACATCTGTGCTCCTCTACATAGGGCAAGGGACATGCCTACCAAGACCCATTACCTCCTGATACTGGACCGGGTGGGACTGGGGTCCTGAGTTAGACCCAGCCCTTAGTATGAGTTCTTGACCTCATGCAGGAAAGACTTCAAGAGTGGGTCAGGAGAGATTATACAAGTTTATTGAAAGACAAAAGTTGGGCTAATTAGAATGAAACTGAGGAAGTAAAGCCAGCCAGGCTCATCAGGTGGAAAACAACTGACCAGCCCTGGGTGGGGTCTGGGGTGCTGATCCATAGTGGTTGAAGTGGGCAGCTGGGGATTGGTTAGTGTGAAGCGGGAAGTCAGGTTGACAGCTGGGAATCGGTTGATCTCTGGGCCTGGCAGTCATCTTTAACAGGCCAGCTGCCAAGCTCATGATCAAACAGCAGGGTTGGATACCTGGATTGGTCAGGCATCTAGTCAGGCGCTGGGCTCGTGATCAGAGGGCTGGTTGGCTACTTGGAGTGGTCAGGCATCTGTTGCTGCTTGAGAGACAACTTTCATTTCTACCTGTTCCCTGTGTCAGTATCATGGTCTGGAGCAATAAAACTGTAGGAAATCATATTTTATATAACAGTGTCAGGTTAGTAATTTACTGGAATATCGGAATGGTCTTAAGAAGCTCACAGAGAACAGCAAATCTTTGCATTCTGCTGGGTCTAAAAAAAAATTGCACAAAGTAGAAGATGTTGGTTGTAAAAAATTCAAGTCATATGGGCTTTTGTAAAGCATGTGATGAACATCCTCCTCTTCTCCTCTCCCCACGGCATCCAAGGCTAAAGGTCTAAGGTATTTCCCCTTGGCTCTATCTCTGAGCACATAGTTAGGGTTGGTACCTGGCTAGTTCTCAACTATATGGCTGTACTAATTACTAGAATGTTGAAATGCTTCTGTAAGCACCAGAAAACAGCTTCTGCCTGAGAGCCTCCCACACTCTCAGTCCTTAGCCTTCCAGGATTCATACTGCAGGGCACATGTTAAAGTTGGAGTTCTTTGTGAACTCAAGTCAAAGGAAACCTGGATGGGTGGCTGGGAGCCCACAGTTTCCACAGCCAGTTGGAGAACAGACTGAGAAACAGAGAGGAGCCAGGAGGCTCTGGGGGCAGGAAGCACTTGACAATTCGGTCAGTGACCAGAGAAAATGGATCCCACTATTGTTTGTCTTGTCACTGTGCACAGGGGCTGATTCCAAGGACACAGTGTAAGGTTGCATAGCTGGTCCAGCACCCTTCCTCTGGCTCTGGTTGGACATGGTACCCTCATGAACCTCTCCTCAGAGTGTAACCAATAGTGGAGAGGCTAGTCCCCCAAAGGAGATCAGGTGCGATTACCATAAGAAGGTAGAATGGATGCTGAGCAAATCAGCCAAACAAGCCTAGGAAATCACTTGATTTTCATAATTGTTTACTTAAAAATTTATACCTAAACTCTTTTTAAAAAGAGATTCGAGAGGAATAAGGAATATATTTAAACAAGAAGGTGGGTAAAGCAGAAAAACCAAGATCGTTAAAATGAATAATAAAACATACTGGCAAAACAGATAATATATTTGATGGGGCTGACCTCCTTTGTTGAAGCCCCTGGTAGAAGGAAAGAAGTTATAAGTTCTTGCTCTCAGAAAGGACGAAAGATAACAATTGTTAAAAGAGAGTTCTAGGAAAATTTAATAGACTTTTTTTCCATGCAGGAAATGCTGACATGATGATGGACAGTATCTTTGACAGCAGTTTAACGCATGGAGAAGAGATCAACACAGTTACTTCTGGGAATGGTTGTGGTGAAAGTTGAAGACTTACCATTAGCATACACTTGACTGAAAGCAATCCTGTGGAGAGGGGCATGGAGATTTTCTGTATTCATTCATTCAATAAACGCTTTTTACCTAATTACTATACCCAGACACTTGCTAAGTACTATTGCATCAATGGTGAGCAAAGCTCATGTGGTCTTTACCTTCAGGGAGGTTAAAATCTAATGTCCAGTATGGTGGCTACTAGTCACATGTGGCTATTTGAGTGTTTACATTTGTCCAGTCCAAACGGACTGTGCCATAAGTGGAAAATGCACAACAGATTTTGAAGATTTAGTACCAAAAAAAAAAAGAATGTAACGTATTCTATTGATAAGTTTCATATTAGCTACGTGTTAAAAGGTATTTTGAAAATACTGAGTTAAGTAAAAGGTATTAAAATTAATTTCATTTGTGGCTGCTAGAAAAATTTAAATTACACATGTAATTTGTACATGTGGCTCACATTTGATTTCTATTGGATAGTGCTGATCTAGAGGAAAAGACAATCATCATAAAACAAAGCCACCCATATTATTAAATAATTAGAAAATGAGGTAAAAGAGGAACAAACTAAAAAAGTTTGGGGACTCAAAGTTTAAGATCTCCTTAAGAATGTGGTACCTGAAAGAGGAGTAGGAGACAGTCTGAAGGAGGGAAGCATTAGGGATGGGGTGTTCTGGGAAGCTGATGATTGACAAAGGTGGTGGTAGGGGAGGTGGAGAGAAGGGAATAGATGGAAGATGCATTTAGCTGGAAGGTTGATGGAACTTGGTGATTGGTTGGTTGTGTAGATAGTGAGGGAAGGAGAGGAGTTAAGAATGACTTCTAGTTTCTGGTTGAAGAAACCAGGTGGATGGAGATGCTATTTCTGAAACAAGGAGGAGTGGAGGAGGAGGATGATCATGTGGGAGGTCAAGAGCTCCATTTTGGACAGAGTCTCTGGAGTCCCAACAGTTAGAAATCAGGTAGAAGAGGAGGCATCATGAAAGGAGACTGAAGAGGCATGGCCAGAGAGGTGGGAGAAGAAGAGAAAAGCTTCAAGGAGCTGCTAACCTTCTAATGTTACTGAAAGTGAGAAGAAGATTGGGTTGTGTCCAGTGGATTTGGTCATACAATTTAAATTATCCTTTGAAAAAATGTACTTTCCTTTTGGAAAAATATAATAGAAATGTGTCCAGGACTAAGGTAAAGTTTGGGGGGAAAAAAGCTTTTGTATTTTAAAAGTGCTGATGGTATTGCTAGGAAGGATCTCCACTCCTCCCTCTGGTGGAGGGGATGGGAGATGGCAGGCTCTGTGTTTAGGGGAACCAGGTGTCAGTAGGGTGATGCAGGGTTAAAGTCAAGTTCTCCAAAGTGAAATTTATCCAGCATGTCCTTTTTTGGAGAAGCATAATCTGAGCAAACTAGATTTTTACAAGGACAAGTTTGTGTGCAGAAAAGGCAGTAAAAATAGGAAAATACAGTTTTACCTAAATGAATTCTCAAAAATGGTAGAGGAGATTTGATGGCTACAAAATTATTTGGAATGGAATATAATTACTCTTGGCTCTGGAAATGAGTCATAAGTCGTGACCAGTGAGGATTTTAAATATAACTTGAAAAGGACATAGTGTTTACTGCAATAATTTCAATTCTTAAAACACATTGCGAGAGGGAGGTCAAGATGATGGCATAGGTGGACTGTGAACTCACTTCCTCTTATAGACCCAATAAATTTACAACTACTCTTGGAACAATTACCCCTGAGAGAGAACTGAAAACTGGATGAAAAGAACCCCTGCAACAAGGGACAGTCCTGACTGGGGTGGAAGTTGCAGAAATTACGTTTTGGAGAGAAAAAAAGCGGCCACCTTCACAAGCCATGGTCTTCATGGCCAGTCAGGAACAATCCTAAGGTATGCAGCCTTCCCTGGAGGAATAGGAGACCTGAGCAGGAGAGCGTTGCCACTATAAGCATCTTTTGGACTCAGCACAACTGAGATGAGCGTCATAATATCTGGCTTTGCTGGCTACTGACTACCATGGGGGATACCCACAGAAAAGCTATGGGAAATAAGGGAGGGAAAAGCTAGCTCTTAAAAGGCCCACATACAAATTCACTCATTTCTGAATGCAAACTAAAATCACCAGAAAGAAAGATGCACAGTCCTTTGGTGAAAAGAGACTCATCTGATAGATGCTGTGTACATCTCAGTGAGAGATGAGACCTCTCCAGGGACTGAGACATTGGCAGCAGCCATTATTGTGACCTAGTACATATATGCTGACACAGGGGCTTGCAGATGCCATTGGAGTTCTTCCCCTGGCCTGTTAGTCAAGGGTCTGCCCCACCCACTAGAGCACTGATTTAATTGAGCTCAGCCAGGGGCTGACCACGCCAAACAGCAAGCCCTTGGGCAACTTGTTGGCCTGTATAGGCTAGGTGCCTTGATCCTCTGCAGCTAGGTGAATGGGTCTGCCTCTGCGGGGCAAGGCATGCACAAGG